ATGGCCAGCAAGGTGGATCAGTGGGTTAAGTATTTGATACTCATTCTTGATGATTGGCTAACCAAAAAGGCAAGCTCTAGGTTCAGTTAGAGATGTAAATAAAAGTGAAGTGTGGTTGAGGAAAACACCTGGTGGATGATAATCTGCCTCAACACTCATGGGCACACAAGTGCACAGGTACTTGCACATCCACTCACACACATACATTCACCACACATGCCATCATGTACACAAGCATACATAAGCAAACATATGCAAAATAAGAGTGATAGTTATGGTTCTGTATTGATAACTACATCAGATTAGGTTTTTCTTTGCTTTCTTTTTGCTGGTTTTTCATGCATAGTTGATGGTGGTAAGAAACTAAGGATTTTTCTAGAATGTGTGTTTAGACAGAAAGATGGATGGATAGATAGGTAGGTAGGTAGGTAGATAGATAGATAGATAGATAGATAGATAGATAGATAGATAGATAGATAGATAGATAGATAGAGATATATAGATTGGTTTTACAAGACAGGGTTTTTCTTTGAAGCATTGGCTGTCCTGGAATTTGCTCTATAGTACAGGCTAACCTCGAACTTATAGATGCACTTGCCTTTGCCTCCAGATTGCTGGCACTAAAGGCATGAATCACTACATCCTGGCAGGAATATAGTTTAAATAATAAAAGTTAAATCATTTTTGTGATATATATATATATATATATATTTGTATATATATTTAATTGCACTATATAACTGAAATAGTAAAAATGTCATTTTATGCACTTAATGGAACTTAGAATGTTCTTAGCTTGTATAAAATAATGTGAATTATATTTTATAATCAATAACTACCGTCTAAAATTATGTCATTTCCTGGTGGGGATAAGTTGGTGACTTATACAAATGTTTCATATGGCATTGTAAAGTCCATTCCTAATTCTACTACATATAGTAATATATTTTGTAGTCTAATACCTAAAAAATTTCAACTACTGCAATATCTATTCAAATTATTTGTCTACTTTATCGATATCTTTTAAATTATTTATTGATCCACTTATACTCTTTGTTCAAATCCTTCTTTAGTTCTAATCACCAGGAATTTGCTTACATACATTTTAAATATCACATATAAATTAGAAAGGATATTCATAAATTACTCTAGGTGAAATAACTGCCCTAACATTTGAAAACAAGAGTGGTTACTTAAATAAGTGGCCTACTTCTTATGACTACAGTTGAGATCTGTCCATTAGCAGTAATCAGAACTGTGACAATTTGTTGACATAGAGTTCACTGTGTTCTAAACTTTAAAATTTAATAATTCAAAACAAAAGAAGATAAAGGCCAGTATTAACTTGCTGGAAGTCTTTAAAACTTGAGAGTTTCCAGTGTTTAACTGCACGAGGATACCTTGAATTGTTACTGTTTTACAATAACAGAAACATTAAATATAAAACACAGGCTCTCAACACTTCTATGGGTCTAATTATTACAGAGCACCTTCTGTGAGAAGCCAACAGGATGTAGTCTCTATGTATGAGTTCCACTCATAAAACAAAAATGAAATCACAAAATATTCTAAAGATGAATTGAAGACCTGAGTCCCTTTATAGTATGATGACTGCACATGCTTTATTTCCAAGTTAACGTGGAATATACTATCCCCAAAGGATACAAAATTTTCTTGACATTTTAAGACATAAAATTTCTAGGACACAGTCAATAACAGAAACAATCCTGTCAGTATTATTCTTGAGAAAATTCACCTGCTATTCAATAATTACTTCCATAACAAGAAAGAATGTTTCATATTTCTCTGTATGTTTTTCTCAGACCTAACATAATAAGACCAGTGGTAAACAAGCACTCAAATAATAGCTGAAGGAAGAGATGAGCAAAAATCATTTATAAAACTTATTTGGATTATATTTTGTGTTATTCTCAGGATTTCAAAGAAATAAATGTGTATTACATGCACAACAGGCATTCTTGAGACAAAAGTTATGTTGCCATCCAGCAAGTCTCAAATTTAGTTCAAAGTCTCATAGAACTAATGGCATGAACCATTCTGAACACTGCTAGATTAATTCATATTCTATACAGAAAAGGATGTAAATAAGAGTTGATTATATAAAAAGACAATGAAATAATGTATTCACACACTATAAATATTACATGTGTAATACTTCTACATGCATATTAAAAGTATTAGCTGTATACTATATGTGTACTGGTCAGAATAAGCTCAAGGTTATCTACAGAGAGTTATTCATAGAAGGAAGTCTAAAAGCTATGAACAGGGTCCTCGGTGCATCTGTTGGTGGAGAGAGTCTGCAAACTACTTCATGGAAGTGTTTCTTCCTCAACTCCTTGGGAGCTGAATCAACATCTATAGCTGAGAAGATTAAACTTTTTACTAATACTTAATTGCAAAGAGTAACTTGTGATCTTTTCAAACAGTAATGACATAGCTTACTTATTGCACATGAGATTAATTTCCCAAAATAAAAAAGAGGAAGAAAAGAAAGAAGTACAACTGTGAATTGTAACTAAGACAAACAACATTTAGAAAGAAACCACACCAAAGTAGGAGCCATGAATTTATAATTTGTAATTCAAATGGAAGAAACTCAAGTTTCCTGATAGTATGTAGAGTTTTGAGGAACTGGAGTCACAAGAAACTTAAATTGACTTATCTTGAACTATCTTTATATCTTTATTTTTATTTCATTTATTATTTATTTATTTATTTGTTTGTTTTTCTTGGAACCTGTCCTGTAATTTAGCTCTTGTAGACGAGGCTGGCCTTGTACTCACAAAGATCTACTTGTCTCTGCCTCCCAAGGGCTGGGATTAAAGGCATGGGCCATCACTGTCCAGCTGAATTATCTTTATTCTTATAAGAGATAGTATCCATGACATTCCTTCAGTCTTCCAGAATCCTAGTACCCTTGTTGCTAAAATAAATGGCTAATGTTTAAGGCAAGTATGAGCACTAATTCAATGTAAAACATTAGTAATGTGTCATTTGAACTTCTTCCTTATCACTATGCTATAAGGGAGACATTTTAAAATTACATATTCACACTATAAACATAAGATTACTAATATCATGGTCTCCAAATTACTTTTATGCAAGACCATTCACCTAAGTGGGTATAAGCAAAACACTGAAATCGGTTTTCTCTGATTCTTACAATCTGGCCTTCAAAGGTTAATAACAAATATAAACCCAATTTAATATTAATATTTTTACAAGGCCTCAAAATCAGTTAAATCTTCTAAACTCTTTGAACATCTAAAACAGTTCATCAGTAGTCAATACTTCATGTCAATGATAAATGTAAGCAGATTTTTAAAGTAAAGTTAAGCAGAAAAAAAACCTTTTTCAGATACAGAAATTTTAAATGACTATGTCCAAGGTTTTTAAAGTGACACACTGGGATATATATAGGAGGTGCAGCTAGGCCAGACTCTATATCAGTAAACACTAAGTAAGGGCAACCACATGACCAGTTAGCATTGGGATAGAGTTGAAACAAAGAAATAGCACTATGCCACTGTAGACAGTGTGTGCTCAAAGAATTCAAACTATCTCATATTTCCTACACAGATTTCTGTTCTAGAAGTAATGAGCCTTAAGTCCTGAAAGAAATGTAAATCCCATCACCAGAATCCCTATGCTGAATTTTCTAAGTCGTTTCTGTAGGACAAGATAGTTTATCTAAATGTCAGTTAGCACTATAAATTCATCTATACATCCATTTAATTATCCAATTAACTCCAATTAATTCCAATTAGCACCTTCTTTTAGATATACAGCAAATAACCCATGAACTTTGTCTTTAAATTTCTAAGCAAGATGCAAGGTTTTTCTGTCTAAAAAGAAGAGATTCACTGGAAACAGTATCCTCCACAAAGCATCCATACATACGTCATTAGCTTACTAATATGAGACCAAGAAAGATGCCTGAAAAGTCTAAGATAGAATTCCTAAAGTATTGGAATGTGTGTTGGTACTGCGAATTGAGAAGGTGATGAAAAAGCAGAGTGCATATTGCCCAGTGGTAGATGCAGAAGATAATTCAGATTGGACCAATAATAGATCATTTATCTAATTCAGATAAAACAGTAATGCAAAACTGAACTTCAGGGAATCATTTAAGCTTCATTGAGAGCTTAGCTATACATATCTTACTAAAAACAAGAAAATGTGGCATGTGGTATATGAAATTACAATTGTAGAAAACAATTCAATTAAACATAAGTGTGTGTTAAGGAAAAAATTTAAAAAGACCTAGACAGAGCGCCTTGTAAGTTAAATTGCACAAAGATTTAATGTCATTGATAAAACACATGAGCAATGCTTTTCTAGTAATAAATATTTCCGCTTTGAAATTTATGTTATTATTTTGAGATATGCATTATTTAGGTGAAAATATGTTAATCATGCTACAGAAACCACTGCCTGGTGTATTTTCTATTCCGAGCGTTCTTGCTTCACTAACTACCTGTTACATATTTAAGACAATTGCCCACCTGAACTCCAAATATTTTAACAGCAGAAAATCCCCAGTGACAAGCCAGCATCTAGCCGAGACAACATGGACAAGGAGTAAGAAAGTGGGTGCAGAAGATTGTAGATTTCTACTGTGGTTTTTCAGTCTCTTGGATGCATTTATGAGGTGGATTAGCTACACCAAGGGAAAATAACAAGAAACATTTGACACTGAAACTGCATGCCATTTCAATGTGATTGTACCTCTGCGTGCAGCCTCATACACAACCAAAGAAGCACGGAAAGACTAAATGCAACAAATGCATCGCAAGAATGAGAAAGTGGGAAGGAAGAGTTCCTTGTCCACAGCCACTGCTCTACAGAGTCAAAATGGAGCGGTGCAGAGTCCCCTCAGTGTTCCTCTCCCTTTCTCTCCCTCCATCGTCCATACATCTCTCCAGTCTTGTCCCCTTCCAAGCAGTATTCTTGAAACACGGCACCAAGCCACTCACCTGTCATCATTTTGCCAGCCTTGGTCCCCTAGCAGCAAATCCCGAAATCTGTACCTGGGAGGCAGAGGGGGCACTTCGCTCTCCAAATCAACCATTCTTCCTTAAGGGGTGGGCAACATACAACAAGGGATGGAGGAGGGCAGCGAGGATCAGAGAGTGCTGAAGAGGGGTACCGTGCTGAGGAAGGTGGCAGAAGAGCCTGGGGGGACCCGGAGGAGGAGGGGTCGCTTGGCCGGAAGCTGTGGCTGAAAAGGGGGCTGGCTCCTCTTCCCCAAGGGTGTGATGGGGATGATGCAAACCGAGCACAGGAGCAAAAGTCTGGCTGCGATTCGAACCGGCGCTGCCAAGGAACCGCCCCCAGGTTCGGTGCCGCCTCTGGTCCCTGGGACCGTGGGGCGGGGGTAGGGGGTAGGGAGGCGGGAATGCAAAAGTTTCTTCGCAGACAAAAAAAGAAATAAAAGGAAGAATCGCGAGGTGCCTAGAAAGAGGGCAGGTGGTGGGCGTGAGCGCCGCGCGAAGGCCAGGCACTTTCCTGAAAGGCAGGGACCAGAACCTCCCACCAGGGCATCCCGGGCGAGAGAACTGGCTCTGGGTGCAGCCTGTGGGGGGGAAGGCGGGAGCAAAGGCTTTGGGCTCGGCTCTCCCTGCTCAGGTCTTTCCAAGCAGTTGCTGGAGACCCAGCCAATGAGCCTCCCCCTCATTAGCATAACACAGTGACGGCATGAGGGTGCCTTGGGGACGACCAATGGGGGCGAGCTCATTAGCCTATTCCAGAGCTCCAGACCCTTCCTGGGAAGAGGGTGAGGGGTCCCAGGACTGATCTCAAGTGTCACCAGCATCCCTGTTGTGGTCGCCTTCAGCTTCTGTGGACTTACTGGAAATGGATTGTTCCTGAACAGGGAATCCCCGCTCTCAGCACGAGGAAAGCCCTTTCTCTCCCCGCCACCCCCCCTCCCTTTTTCTTACATTCTAAGAAAAAGGAGGTATTTCCCTGGTCTGAGGAAAATTGCTGGGCCATCCTTAGGAAGCAGCTATGAGGAATCTTTCAGCGAAAACTAAAAGAGAATCCCGGAAGCAGGCAGGGCAAGACTCCTACTGAGTGGTGGTGCCACTTGGGAGCTTGTGGTCTCCTGGGTGCCAGTGTGGAGCGGACTTTTCACAAGGTCACAGGAGGAAAAGAGCTCAGCACTCCCATTGGGCTATTTTTCAGCTCCCTGGACTTTTCTGAACCCTACTATCCTACTATGTTTGGTTCCACTTGGACACATTCGTTTTTCCTTCAGGGACAGATCCCTGAGGCTCATATACGCAGAAACAGCACACTGCACCTCAGGAAAGCAAGGGCAGGCATTGCTCTGGTCCTTACAACAAGATCATCATGAAAACGGGGCCACAATGGAGCCAAACAACAACTTAATAAACGCATGTTTTCTAGGGTCAAGAAACACATTAAAATGAACCAGGCTTCTGCAGCCTTAAAGTGAGGGTTTAAATAAGAAACAGCGAAATGAATATCAGGTAAACTTTTTTTTTTTCTTGTTGTATTTGTTTTTTGTTTAGGGGGGAAGTTAAATATGCTTATCAAAGGTATAGTAATTAATTCATTTTGAATAATTCTTCGTGGATATCATTTAGCAGAGAAGTCATAAAAAAGCTAAAGTGCAGAAAGAAATCAACAAAATTGTCGTGAGAGCAAATGAATAGCAGCAAACAGTTGAAGACGCACGGCCATGCTTTCCATGTGCCTTCTACTTCCTGCACTTTCCTCTATTCCTAGCTTTAGAGTCCCCAACTCTCCCAAGTGAGGTGAATGTGCTGTCTTCTTCCTTTGAACCCTCCAAACTTCATTTTCCTGGTGGTGTTAATCATAATCTTTAGTAATCCTCTATGTATTTTAAAGATCTTTTCTCCTCTTTTTTCTGTTCAGTGCCATGAAAATAGTCAAACCCTGCCCCCATAAATGTATTGATATGCAAACTAAAGAAACAAATGAAATAACTATGCCCTGCTAGATACAGATTAAATGATATTTTAAGATAGAGCCAAGCTTCGTATTTTCTTTTTTGTGGCAATCTTAGTTGAGAACGGAGAGATCAGATAACTGTACAGCATGGAAAAAATGACTCTGTTAAAAACAGTCAGTAAAGATCTGATTGGCTCCTAATGTCACACACAGCTAGCCTTTAAGGACACCAATCATTATTTCCTACCGTACTCAGCCAAAAGAGTTATACACAACAATGATAAGGGAACACTGGCTTTCTCTGCACCACAAAGAGTTGATAAAAGTAGTAAAAAGTCCCCAATTTTCCAACTTAAAGAAATAACAATTCATTAATCATGGGTATCAATTAACTTCTGATATTTATAATTGAGAGATCTTTTTGCTCTACTTTTTTTCACTTTTAGTTGCAGACTTTTCCTTTTGTCATTAATTTTGGCTTCTAATTCTCACACCTGATTTACACTTTTATTCTTTTCTTTCTTCTCATGTCAAGGCATTCCCTGCTGCTACAACATGTTTTCCTGGACCAGACTATACCGCAGTTTCTCTTCACTGTGTGATTCTGGGATTTTTATCTCATCTGGTCTTTTTCTGTGTGTATATGGAAAAGATTTTAATCTACTATGGCATGAGATTCAATTTGGGGAAATAAATTTAAACTTGGTGCTTCACATTAAATTCCTAAACTATGTGATTCTAGCTAGTGTTGTCACATTTCCTATACATTTCCTAGGGTGGATGAATAGCAGAAGAGATTATCTACCTATCTGTCTGTCTGTCTGTCTGTCTGTCTATCTATCTATCTACATCTGACTCTCTTTGTGTCTCTGGACACACACATACACATATCTTACATTCAAGTCTCAAGTATTTAAGGGATCTACGGAGTTATTTGATATTAAGTTTATTTTTTGTTTTGTTTGGTTTTGATGGGTTTCCCAGATGATATCCTTCAGTTTACACAAGAATCAACATTGGCTAATTCATATCATTTTCCTACAAATGTCATTTCTTCCTTACATTAATCTAACCCATTTCCACTTAATTTCTGTACATTGGGTCTTGCAGTGTCCTTCAGGAGTACCACACACACACACCACAAGAAAAGAGACTGATCACATAAAAGCAGTAGAGAAGATTGGTCACACACAATTTTTACACAATAGAGGAAACTGGTCACAAGCATACCTCACCAAAAATTTTCTAAACATGGACAAAACTATGCCCATATTCACAAATACTGTTTATAAATGTTCTTTTACATTTAAAGGGGGATATGATATAGAGATTAATAATTTGCTTTGGTATATATCTTTATTGATACAAATTTAAGGTCAATTTTGTTATACTGTATAACAAAATTATACATATATATATTCTTATCTTAATTAAGGTATTGTGATTGTGTAGCTCATTTAAAAATGTAATGTATAATTAAGAAATATAGGTTAATAGAGAATCATCTTTAATAGTAAAGATTGTAGTAATGTTAGTTAGATTTTCTAAAAATATAGAGATATATTTCAGTTAGCTATTCTTCAAATCTTTCAGAGACCTTCAGAATATGGCATTTAAAATGTTTTAAGAACTTAGGACTTTGCATGACAATAAGACATATCTGCTCCTGTTGGCACCAAGCTACTTCAAGAGGAAGATGGGCATCAAAGATGCTTCTTATGGAGTTGGTTAACCATTTGGGCAAGAAACTGCTCTTGCCTAAACTGACGTGCAGAACCTACAGAGAAATGACTGCTGAACTTGCCTACAGGTGAGATGATTCTTCAGGGCTCCTGCTTCATGATAAAGTCTGCAAGACATTCTACAGGATAAAGAAAAAAATGACTAAACTATCTTTGAAATTTCTTGCTTCATGGAAAAGTCTGCCGGATACTATGGGCCTGTAGGTTAAAGATGGATGCCCCAATGGTACAAAAGAACTTTGGGTGACTGTCCAGGCAGCAAGATGTCTCCATCAGTTCTAGAATTTTGGAAGTTGCTTACAATGCACTTCCAAGTCACATAAGTAATATAGTTTATACTTTTCTTTAGTTATAATAAAAGATAAAGTAGAAATAAATGTTATAACTGTAGTTCTTGCATGATATCTGTTTTGTTACATGCAGTTTGCTATGTTAAAGTTAAAGCCTTCCTTTTTGTTTAAACAGAAAAGGGAAAATGGTTTAGGAAGTCCTTTTGGCTATGTGTTGCTTTCATTGGTTAATGAATAAAGAAATTGTCCTGGCCAACTGATAGGGCAGAACTTAGATAGGTGGAGAAGACAGAACTGAATTCTGGGAGGAAGAAAGCAGAATCAGAGAGACATCATGGATCCACCAGAGGCAGGCACTGGGAATGTTACCTGGTAAGCCACTGCCATGTGGCGATACAAAGATTACTAGAAATGGGTTAAATAAAGGTGTGAGAGCCAATAAGAGTCTTATTGTGATTTAATTAATACAATTTCTGTGTGGTTATTTCGGGGCTAATCTAGCAGGGTGGCTGGGATCTGGGCAGCAGGATGAACAAGTGGGCCCTTCCTTCTAACAAAAGAATTATACTAATAAAGAGTATCAAATCAATGTTAATAATTCTTAGCTTTTGAAATTTTAATTGTATTTTCTAGAAAACACACTTTTCGATTTCTTTCTATTTGACTAACAAATGTTATTTTCAAAAAATTTTCCTTCCCAATATGTTGATTATACAAATGCTTATCACAAGAAAATATTAATTCCTATAAGAAAAGAATAGCTTTATTAACAGTTAACAAGTTATTCATATCTTGTTCAAAATTAACATAATTGCAGTCAGAAAATAAGATGGATAATTTTATCTAAAGCTTAAAAAAGTATTTGTGTGTGTACATATGTATGTGTGAGTGTGTGTGTGTGTGTGTTTGTGTATACATAGATACATAATTTATGGTCAAAATCTACAACCTGTTATTGATCATGTCTGTTTAGTCCTAATAGGACTAGTGAAAAATAAAATTTAAGATAAAAACAAAAACATTGCATATGATAGACTGTGTACTTTATGTACCTTAATATGCAGACAAAGAGATGCCACTCATGTAGATAATAGCATTAAGCAGTCTAACCTAACTGTATGAGTGTGTTTGATTGTAAGCAGTTACTTTGACTTCAATGTATCACAATCCAATGGGTAAGGGATTGGAAGTAGTGGAAGTGGAGAACTGTCTATGCAGAAGTGGTGGTAGCATGTGAGAGATCTCAGCAGTGGGTACCATGAACTGCTGACCACACAAAGACACCTGATTCTGAATTTGGAAAACTAA